ATAAATTCTGCCTCATTTAGGTACAATTAAACAGAATTATGACCATTTGTTTTTCTTCAAGGAGGTTGCTTTGCATATTGAGTGTCTAATTATTTGCAGGTGACAAAAACGCAGGTTAGATCATTTGGTGTTTAATGGAAAACCGACATATTTACAAGAGGGGCTGCGTGGAAAATGGCTATTAATAAAAGCAAATGTTTTTGTGAAATAGTTCAATAATGACACAAGTGGGGGAAATTATTTTTACATAAAATGTTGGCATTCCTTTTTAGGTAATTATGCCTGGGCTGGGGTTTCTTTGATGTGTGGGGCATGGAAACAAATACAAAATGATCTGTTGCATTGCCTAATTGTGGCATTTGAGAAAATAATCTGTGTCAAAATCTGAAACCAAAAGTGTACTGTGTACAGCTGATGTCAGATGAGCATTTTCAGCAAACCATATGGCAATTTAATGTAATACTTTCAATAGTGTTTAGTCCTTTTCCTGGTGGAATAAATGTAATTTTAATCAGAATAAAATCTCCATAGCCATAAACGTAGTCATAGGTTTTCACTAGATTTGCTAAAACTTCTCATCTAACATCAGGCTTACTAGCCAATGGTAGGCATGCTGGCGGTTGCTGTGCACACGGCCATATCAGGCCCCTCCCGGGGAGGAGTACACTCTCAGGCCTCTATGGGAGTACGTTCACCCGAACTGCACGTCCGTACAGGTGCAGGTGTCCCTACTCGGACGCAGACAGGATCCATCTTGTCTGCGCATGAGTACGGACACCCGCACAGACGTGCAGTTCGGGTGAGCGTACTCCCATAGAGGCCTGAGAGCGTACATATCAGGCCCCTCGGGATGGGCCTGATATGGCCGTGTACACAGCACAGGCCGCGTACTCCCATAGAGTAGAACAGGCTGCTGCGTATAATCACACGCAGCACTTGTCCTTCTTGAGAGCGGCCCAATACAGCCATGCATGCAGCACAGATCTGTACGGGCCGGCTGTTTCCCGTGTGAATGAGGGCTTAAAGGTAACCAGTCAAGAGATAAATACAAAGGCTACCACTGCTGACCGCCTAAAAGGTGAACTCCAGCCCTACCTTTAGGCTAGGTCCACACCTGGGAGATCCGTGACTGCCCATCAATCGTGCAGAAAGCCAAAAAAAAAGGCTAGCACACGATCGCGTGGTCCGGGGGCTCTCGTCCCGGGTATCGCTCAGATCTGAACCTAGCCTCAGTCTTGCACAGTTGTAATCTCCTGTAGTGATTTCACTGCACACTATGAGCTTGTCAAATTGTGCATTAGAAGCTGCAGCAAGTCAGACAGAGCCTGCCGCATTTCCTAGCTGGAGGACATCCAGCATCATCTAGGTCAGGGGTAGGCCTTTTGGCTAAGATCAAGTGTAGTATCTGTTCTTATCAGTTTTCGGTGGGGAAAAGAACCATCCTTGCGGGGGATGGTTACTTAGTACTCGCTTGGTAAAAAAAAAAAAAAAAAGGGGTAGGCAAACTCCAGCCCCCCAGCTGTGGTGCATCTACAAATCCCATTAGACATTGCAAGACCCTGACAGCCACAGGCATGACTTTGAGAGAGGATTTGTAGTTTCACAACAGTTGCAGGACAGGAGTTTGCCTACCCCTGATCTAGGTCTTTCTCCTCCAGCCTTATTGCTCCCGCCTGCTCCTTTCTTCTTTTCTTTCATTAAATTTCAGTTCTTTCAGTCATGGAGGCTCAGCATTATATGTGGGCATACCTAGGACAATCTGCCTGGGAAATCCCCATTTTGATATTTGCATAACACTTCCTCAGAGTCAGCCTACTACCTGCATTGTGGCTGAGGACCCCTGAGAGTAGTACTGAGGAAGGGTGCTGTGATGTTTTCAGGAAGCTATATACAGCACCCTTCCAGCCTCTCCCACCAGCCATGATCTACCTGCATTGCATAGAGAGGCACAAAGTGCCCTCTAGTGTCCAAATGTATGGGAGTCGAGTCATGGCTAAAATAAAAATGGGATTTTCTCATATGTTTTAGGTGTTTCTAACCACTATTACCCCCAATAAAGCATATAGTAATAAACATTAGTGACCCATATATGGAAGGGGGTATGCGTATTATACTGTACCTTTATATAGAGTTGTAGAAGTTCAAGCACCAGTCAGCCTTTGAGATTCTATATGCAGGTGTTTAGAGTGGAAATTCCAAGAATAAATTAGCCTGCAAATGCTTTTGCAGCAACAGCATGGCTGTTGACTTTTTTCTTTGTTTGCTTGGCGCATGTGCATTTCATTGCCTAATAAGCTTGTCACGATATTTGCATTTTTAACATTTTCAGGTAAAATTTTGACACAAGCCCTGTTCATTTGCTTTAGGCCCTATTTTATTTTCATCAATATGCTGCCAGACTAGACTTTGTTGGCAGATAGATTTTTTTTAAAAGATGTTGTAAGCAGCATGCTAGTACAGTGGCTTCTGCTGAAGAAAGCGACAACACAGTGTAGTAATGCAAATTCTCCTGACTTTTTTGTTGTTACCATTCTTGAAGGTGTTTTCCTGCCTGTAATTTTACGCTTGCCACTGTGTCAGATATGAGTATTTGCCCCTATAGAGGCTGCATGTACAACATAATATAATCCAGGGGTAGCCAAACTCCGGCCCTCCAGCTGTGGTGGAACTACAAATCCCATGAGGCATTGCGAGATTCTCACAGACATGACTCCCGGAAAAAGATGCATCATGGGATTTGTAGTTCCACCACAACTGGAGGGCCGGAGTTTGGCTACCCCTGATATAAACGGACAAATTGGGAGGAATAGAAAGAAGGCAGGGACAGGGCCAAGCTTGACTTTTACAGAAAGAGTTGTGCCCACCACCATCTCTGTTTCCTAGACTTACACTCTGGGATGAACTGGCACATCCCTAATACAGATTATTAGCGCAGTAAAATATTTGCATGCTATGATTTGTAGCTGAAAAAATCATAACCTTGTGATGACCGCAACTTTGGTTCTTGTAGTTGTGGGGTGGGGAGTGCCCCAAACGCAGCCGATTGGGCCGGAAGGGGGCTGTGTCATGGGCTCTTGCGAAATCGGCCCAGCGGGCAGTTGCATGGACGGATGGAAAGTCTGGAAAATTAGAGCCAAAACGTTTTCTTTGCATTCAGGATAGAGTAAGGAAATGGTTAAACCCCTAAAAAACTGCCGAAGTATTTTTTTTAAATGCCTGTAATAAATAATACATTGTTTTGCATGCTCCTTGGATAAAACAACAAAAGTAAAGTATATTATGTAGATAGATGCTGACTCAACAGTTTTAAATAGAATCTTATCGAACAGCATTCCTCTGCACAAATATCACACATTTCCTCTTTTTCTCACTTCAGGCTGTTCATATATTTAGTTATTATATAAAAAAAATATACAGGTATCTCTTGACAGGCATTTAAACGCAGAAGTCAAACGGTAAAGAGGCAAACCTTTTTTCTTTTATTTTGGACAGAGTGAAGGAGAGTTAGACTCTCTGTTAGGATTTTTTGCTTCCAATGTCCTTGTTGAAAATATTTTTCTTTTACTTCCTGTCCCAAGGTGAGTGCGGTGCAGAAAGTGAGGAGACATACTGTAGGCATCAATATAAACCTGACAAAGGTATTAACCTTTCCTCACTCTACTAAAGAAGTGTTTTATTGCTGTTTGTATCTCCATTGGAGAAATTTGCCCTCACTTCATGTTCAGGGTGGCCCCAGTAACCAGGGTGGAACATCCGTGAAGGCGCATTGTTAATTTATTTACCAAAGACATTTGCATGTACCTTGGAGCCCAATATTGCATGATCATGTTGGTTTATGTACTATTTTATGAAGACTGACACATTAAACACATATGCTTTGATCTTTAGAATGAACTGAAGATAACAATACCACTTATAGCATTACATTGTGATAACCTAGTCACAAACATCGGAGACACAATTTACTTAAAAATTCATTGGTTTTCGGATGATTCCTGTTGGCATTCACTGACCTCTGACAACCGTTTCGTACACTTCATTAGGAAAAAATAATGGAGATTTCAGCTGAGGGAACCAATAAGAGTAGCCAATAGGGAACTTTTAATTTGTCATCCAATTACTATTTTTAGTTTAGAATTGGCCAACATAGTCCTCATCTGTACTGCTTATGCTCCAGTCTGGCCCATGCATGGTCTCCACTGCATACATTACATAATCCACATATTGGGGCTCATTTACTAAAATAATAGTGACTGTTAACTTTGCATAATGAATATTAGTAAATACGGTGAAGTTGTCTTTACTTTGACTACCCAATCATGTGCCATCTTTCTCTCAAAGTAAACATTGAGAGACATGACAAAGGGGGTGCAGGGGTTGCGGCCCGCACCGGGTGACACCATCAGAGGGAGTGACACCAGAATGACTGACAGTCATTTTTGTGTCACCCCCTCTGAAAAGTCCGATACTCAGTCATGGACCGAGAGCCTGACAGCTGCACGAGAGAGGAGGGGACCCGGCAGGATAAGGTATGCCCCTGGATCCCCTCCTCTCTTTGCCGGCATCCAGCACCAAGAAGAGTGAAATGCACATGACGTCATTACGTGCATGTGTTATGAGGTTACGTGTATACATAATGATGTGCGCACTGGGTGACACCCAGCCTGGTGACGCCGCTGAGATGAACAGCCAATATTCCTTCAGTAAATCAACTGCAGTGTGTACATGAAAGCAGCCTATTTCCTAATTCCATGTTACCTTCACTGCCTCTGAAATATTGGGACTTTGCTGACATCATGCATAACATGCCCTGCACACCAGTAATTCTCTTAGCATTTTGGAGGTGGTCAAGGTCAGATTCCTTTATTCAGAACATGTGTAATACTAGCACACCTTCAGTTAGTTTGCAAAGCTGAAGAGTGACTGTAAACTATTCTATTAGAATGTTATTTTTCATGTCTGCTTTAATACTAAAACACCTCTTTAATATTATTGATCAGGGTTTGCTGTCAGAAATTCTACGTAAGGAAGAAGACCCTAGAACAGCATCCCAGTCTTTGCTAGTAAACCTGAGAGCGATGCAGAACTTCTTAAATTTGCCAGAGGTGGAGAGAGATCGGATCTATCAGGATGAAAGGGAGAGAAGTATGAACCCCAATGTAAGCATGCTGTCATCATCATCATCCAGCAGTCCCAGCTCATCTCGAGTTCCACAGGTATGTGAAATCTGCGCACTACTGGAATCCTGCTAAGCCTTGAAAGTTGTGAACATGAAACTGCACTAGCTGAAGACACGGGGCCTGTCCAGATCATTTGTTTTACAACACATAAAACCTGATTACCTGTTAATGAAAGAAGCCTATAGTAAAAGAGTACGGAGGCTGCCTTTTTTGTCTTTCTAAAATGCTAATTGCCTAGCTTTCATGCTCATCCAATAGCTTCAATACTTTTTTTGGCAGTGACCTGGAGCAAGTATGCAAACCAAAAGTTTTGACTTCACTCAGACTTTCTAATTTGCTTGTTCCCAGTCAATGACTTAGAAGGCACTGGAGCCAGAGACAGCCCAACAAATAGCATCTGTCTGCATTCGCACCTTCCCTGTTTTTTTTTGTAGGTTTCCATTAAATTACCTTTTGTATTATTGAATAGACTTTTTATGGACACTGTAACATAAAAACCTACAGTACATGTAGCAGGTGAATAATTGTTCGAAAGCATTAAGTATTCAAAAAAGATCCTCCACTAAGCACAGTTTGTATCTGACCGCATAAAATATATTTCTGTGATTACATTACATTTCATGTGTACAATCTGGGTTGTCCCCCTGCCTCTAAAGCCCAGGTTTTGCTGTCAGGTACTGATAAGACATTTGAATTGTTAATCTACATAGTCATTCCATCTTCTCAGCATGTCAAAGTTAGGTGAGGCTGCCTCAAGAAACAAAGGACAGCTTCCATAATGCAGAGGGAGATTTCCCTGGCCCAGTGTGATCTGTGCTGAGTTTTAGCATTAGGTAGTAGCGTTGGTGGACAAAGACACATACATTGTGAAAGTACAGAGTTCTAGAAAGCTATGATACTTCCTACTTCCTTTTGTTCTTCAATTATAATAATATAGGTAAAAGTTTTCTATCACCTACTGTTAGTGAATTCTTCACTACTTAATTGCTGCTTCTTAATTGGACCAGAGTTCTTGACTAGACTTGGCCATCCAACTGTGTTAGTTTTGAAATAAATAGGTAGCAAATGTCTGAGACCCCTGTGTCATCTAGTCAGAGCAATACGGCTTCTTTTGCCCTTCACTTGTCAGCTGATGGCAGAAATCATTCAATTAAAGCAGTGTGTCAGAATAGAGAAAATAACAATAACAGTTTAAGAACATTAAAGGCACAAATCAGAAGCAACCTGGGGCCCGAGATGCGAAAATGAAATTTCTCTTTTCATTTCCGCTCATTTCCTAGGTGAAATTGGGTGTCCGACTGGTTAGCATAATGAGGATAATGGTAACTAGAGCTATGTGCTCAGATGACATACGTTCATGTTTAATAAGGAATGAGAGGGACATGAGGGAGTGCCGCAAATTGAGTAGTAATTTATTATTTAGAGACCTTTACCCATTTTCTCATTTTTTCTGGGAGAATTGGTTCCTACACTGAAGACTTTATTTGACAACAGGAAGAGAACAGAAGACACACACCTCATGTACAATAACCATGATTGTTTAGCCCTTGTTAACCCTTTCATAAGTAGCGAGTTGTTAAATTATGAAAGAATTTGCAAGTACTGGCAGCGCAGTGATACTAGACATCATGAAAGGTTAATGTAACTGAGATTGACAGATAATACTGGTGGTCTCTTTCCAGTTTTATAGAGTTAGTGGAGCTCATTCACACCATCAACAATGAGCTATGTTGGGCTACACTGCTCAATGTGGTCCCAATGTGAAGATAAGGCACATAACCTTATGCCTATTGACTTCAGTTCACATCAGCACACCGCATTGATGTGTGCTGAAAAAAAAAATAGGACATGTAGCATTTTTTGGGAACACAGCATGTTTTGATGTGCTGCAGCTCAGGGTAAAATCATTAATTAAAAAAAAAAAAACAACAACCTGCAAGACGTGTTTAAATTGTATTGCAGAGCAGCTCAAAGCAGGGTGAAAAAAATGCATGTTGCTATGGTGTGAATAATCCCTTCTTTATGGTAGAAAGGTACATTGAAATTACATCCATTAGAATTTATATGAGGACTTCTATGAGGAAGTCTAGTGCAGGCTCCCTCCACTGTGCCCATGTCTCATAGTTACTTAGTTACATAGTTAGTCAGGTTGAAAAAAGTCCATCGAGTTCAACCTATAGAGATACAAGGAAAAAAAAAAAAAAAACCTAAAACAGAACGCTATGCCCACAGTTACCCACTTCCAGAGGAAGGCAAAAAACCCCTCTAAAGCATGGTTCAATTTGCTCCAACAGGGGAAAACAAAATCCCTTCCTGATTCCATAAGGCAATCGGATATTCCCTGGGTCAACAATCTCTGGTGCTTAATATACTCATAAGAACTCAATATCCAGTAATATTCTGTGCCTTTAGGAATACATCCAGATTATATAAAATATATTTCTGACTGCACCGACCATAAAAAGAGGGCAGACTTGATGGACCATGTAATCTTTTTCTGTGGTCACTCTCCAAAATTTCTAAATACATACTCTGTGTATTTGTCAAATGTAGCCAAATACGTGTGTAGTGCCTAGTATAGCATAAATAGGGATATATTTATGTATATATACATATATATTTATATTAAAGAGTTCTATAGATTGAATGGTTGAACAAAATTATTATATTTTATTGTTCATTGTATGTCTGTAACATCAAAGTTTTCTATAGCTGAAAATAGGTTAATGAAGTGCCAACCAATGGATTATGAAATATAAACTGTACTGACAACCCCTGCATAGAGATTCACTGAACACATGAAGAAAAAGTCAAGGTCTCTTTCCTTCCATGTTCTCCAACAGCAATTATTCCCAATCACAATTAACCTGATTAGAATAATGGACAGGAAGTGTCCCACCGTAGCTAATGCTCCTTGGCACCAACCCTACTGAGTCCTTTGACAATTTCTGCACAGATGGCTTAGCTAAAACATTTTTCCTTCTTCTGTCTTTTCTCCCCCTTCCCCATAACCTCCCTATAGATGAAAACCGCCACTACTCCGACATCCGACATCCAGGTGAAAGTAGAGGGGGAATCTTCCAATGTTACCATCACAGCTGCTGTTTACGATGAAATTCAGCAGGAGATGAAACGAGCAAAGGTGTCCCAGGCTCTCTTTGCCAAAGTAGCTGCTAATAAAAGTCAGGTGAGTGAGCTGCAAAGGGGAGCCAGTTGTACGATCTGTTGTGATATCCTGTATCCCCCATACACCTTATAAAACATTACATCTGGTCCTAGTATAGTTATGATATAACCCTATCTTATTTCAAGCTAAAGGGAAAACATAGCATTATGTCAACAGTCCATTTAATAGCACTTCACTTCATAATCTTATCTTGAAATTATAGTGCATCTCTATTTTAGCAACATTCAAATGTTTATTACGTGGGAAAAAATAACATCAGTATATGTAAAAAGTTTTTCAGCACCTCTCAAAAATTATTATACTTCATATTATTGCTCTAGGCGGCTTTTCCCATGAAACCTAAGGACACTTTTTCTCATATCTCCCTCCTGCTGTGTGTGGAGGGGTACTGTATGCAGTGCTAACAGCAAGCATTCGATTATGGTGTCCTATGTACTGGGCACCTGACTTGTTGGCTTCCAGGGTACCCTTACTGCAAAACAAATAGAGTCTCACCCCTACCCCATCAGATAACTCAGCAATCAGATAATGTGAAAAAATTGTTTCTGCACTGTATTTTGTCTTCTTAGTATTTGGAATCGGCTGACTGGTGGGCTGTATCAGGGTGTTACACAATAGTTAGTGACTACCTAGTAACCAGTAACAGTAAACACTTTAGTCAAGAGTATGTAATTTACAATATAGCATAAAGAAATATAAAGAGTGCAGTAGCCAGGACATGAGTAATTTCCTGAGTGCAGTGGTCAGAAATAGGAAATATACAACATAATGTATACAGTGCAGGGGTCAGAATGCATAATGCACAGAGTGCAGGGCTTGGGAGTGTGTAACTCACAGAGTGCAGGGGTTAGAAGTAGGTAGCACACAGAGTACAGGTGTCAGGAGTAGGTAATGCACAGAGTTCAGGGGTGGAGTTCATAATGCACAATGTGCGTGGCTCAGGAGTGCATAATGGATAGAGTGCAGGACTAAGGGAAGCATAACGCACAGAGTGCAGGGGTCAGGATTGCTTCACAGACAGGTGCCGCTGTCAAGAGTACCTAAAGGAGAACTATGGGGTAAATATTTTTCCCCATAGTTCACCTAAGGGTCACAGGAGGACATATACTAGTGTCCTCCCGTGACCCAAAGCTTAGTATATCGCAAGCTACAGCTCGCGGTATGATGAGACTGCTGCAGCCGGGACAGATCCCGACATTACTGTCGAGATCCACCCAGCTGCGTGAGTGACAGCTGGCTCTGCCTATCTAGAGGCAGAGCCAGCTGTACCCGCCCTCTCCCCCATCCGTTCTGCCAGTCAGCGCTGGAGAATCAGAGAGGGGAGGGGGGGGAATCCCTGCAGCGAGCCGTGAGTGACAGCCACGGCCCTCTGCAGGGACATGATGGAGAAGTGAGCGAGTGACGGTTTGTGTTCGCTCACTTCCTGATCTATTGAGCCGACGTTTGACAGTTTCATTGTCACGCGTTGGCTTGAACTATGAGGTTGAGTGAAAATCACTCACCTCATAGTTCTCCTTTAATGTGCAGAATGCAGAGGTCAGGAGTATGTAACACACAGAATGCAGGGGTTTGGTGTGCATGACACAAAATGTGCAGGGATTGGAAGTGGGTATCTCACAGAACGTAGGAATCACCAGTCTGTATTGTACAGAGTGGAGGGTTCAGGAGTGCTTAACGCATAGAGTGCAGGGGTCAGGATTACTTAATGCACAGGCCAGTATGTGAGTGCAGGTTAAATATTTCTCTATCTCCCCAATAAACATCTTTCCCCCCTCCCCCCAAGTCCATTCATCAGTAGACATGTTGCTCACCCCCCAGTACACTTTTCACCCCACCCCAGTGCACATCTTGCCCCTTCCAAGTCCATTCACCAGACCTCAGATAACGCAGCACTTCAGAATAAGGGAAGTCCTGTGTGTCATGTGATACAACAGAGGCAAAGAGGAGCCTCCCTCATTTCTAAACTGTTGTGACCTGATAATCAGGCCGCGGTATCTGATGTTTGCCAACAGCTGCAGTGTGAATGGTACTGTAGCGCCGTAACTTTGAAATAAAAAACCATTGTAGGAGATTGTGTTTTGGAACCTGGCGCACCCTACAAGAAATGCAAAGTACGTGCCCCAGGTGCCCAGTGCTAGCAATGGCCATGTCTGGGAGGGGACTAGTACTTACTACATGCATGACAGTGTATGTATATTGTAGAGGTGAATGGAGCTAAACATATGCTAAAGTGCATCAGGGTAGTATATGTTAATCTGCGCCTTTGCTGATGCGTGGAGGTTTTTTTTATTCCTTTAGTCCCATCTCACCATAACCTGTTTACTTATACTGTAATAATTTATTGCATTACAGAAAACACTAGTGGATAAGGAAAATAATAGGTTAACAAGTTACATTTCTTGTGGTCTAGTGTCCTTACTGTGTGTCACAACCTTCATTGCTCTCCTAATGTTGTTAGTCTGCTCTGGATCTGCAGCCCATGAGAACTGAAAAGCCAGCATTAGTCGTGATGGGAACATTACACCTGATTGGTCATGGAGTGTGCTACCATAAATAATACCGTGGCCTGTTTTGAATTTCACAGATAGTCCCAAGCCTGTCTAATAAGGAAACTTTCACAGACATTAAATAAGGGTCTAACATCCCATTAGGGAGATATAAGTCATACAGACGTTTCATGGGCTGTGCAGTTAATGACCAGCATTCTGGGCGAGGTTACCACCATTGTGCAAGTTTAATAAGAGAAAATAAAGCTCACTTAAAGGAATCTTCTAAATAAGGTATTGAACACACGGATGCTGTTTATGGGGCTTAAGATGAATTATGTTGGAGGTATCAGAGCCAAGTGGTCTGATAATGAGAGCCAGACAACAAAGATACATTTATACAGCCAGCCAAGCCTGAAACTTTCTGCATGTTGTGGAGGCTCTACTTATTTTAACCTTGAACTGTTTACTTTTCATCTTATTTTTACAAGGACATATCCTCATGCCATTGTCCTGACATTGTTAAAACTCCTTATCAGACAACTATCAGTATTAATCATATATTTTAATATATGTATATCTTACAGCGTAAAGGAGAAATAGCATTTTACTGCCCTATATTGCTTAGGGGAAATTATTTATTTACTTTATATTTGCTTGCTAAAGTAAAACAGGATGTGTATATTAACTCTTAAAGTAGAATGCCAGCCGAAACACTCTGCTAAAAAGTTGTTTTTTTTTGCTGTTTGTATCACTTTTTTTCTGTTTGTAACACTGGAGAGATTCTCTAAACTTTTTGTTCCAGTAACCACACAGGAAGAAAGGGGTACTCTACCAGTGAACTTAAAAAAAGGCACAGTCCTCCCCTTTGCAATCCAAATGACAAAAAAAGAGTTTTGGCCAGCATCTATTACATGGGATGGAGCTGGTCTATTGCTTTTAATGCCAGTTTCTATGATATTCTCAGATGATTTTTAGAGTGCACCATTGCATACCAGCCTGTTTTTTCCCTGACTCTTTCCCCACAATGTACTATTATACCCAGAGATTTTGCCTTTTTTTGGTTTGTTTAAGGGTGTAAAAATCCTTAAGAAATATAATGTGGGCTGTTGCGAAAGATATGGTGACCAATGGGGAGGTATGGTGCCAATTTGAGCATGGTCTTGTGTAAAGTCCACTGACCAATAGGGAGGCAAGGCTCTATTGAATGTGGCCTTGTGTAAGTACTAGTGATCAAGGGGTAGACATGGTGCCATTTTAACATGGTCTTGTGTAAGATCCAGTGGTAAACTAACACAGAAAATGGTGTCTCTAAAAATACTTCAGTGTCCCCATCACTAAAGCTTTCCTTCACAACTCTAGGGTTCCTTCCAATTCCTTCTGTTTGTACACACTGTAATTGGAAAAACCTACCTTGTTAGTCATCTTATTAAGTGGGCAGATTGCTGAGCTGCTAAAATTGTAGTTCTTTAACCCATGTACATACCATTGTGAATCTAAAAGAAGCAACCTCATCAGTTTAGCTGCCTACTCCTATCTGCTTAATATGGTAACTGGTGGCATGAATTAAATGATTACTAAACCGCAGGTAGTGAGTGAATAAGGAGGGGCCCTTGTTTACCTACTTATCCTGAGATATACTCACAATAATTCCGCCCCTGCTAAGGTTTGTAATTTTGTTAAATTTTGTTTGTAACATTCGATAAAGTATCAATAGTTCTTTGAAATCATTTAAGTTGTCCTTCTGTGATTTCAAACTGTTACATGAGGAAGGTGATTATTTATTTTTCTCTCAATAATAACCTTGGCTTACCTATCCCTGTGACATAATATACACTGCGTTCTTCTCAATCAAATGACAGGCAAATGAGTTACACCAGAGATGTACAAAGGTTCTCAGGGGCCATTGACTTGGTAGCTTTTCAAGATTGTTTTTATTACTAAGCAAATCACTTTGAAGCTTAGTAAATATATTGAAACCTGCGGCACACCGTTGTCTAGTTTCACATTTCTAAACTTTTGAATAATATATTGAACAATTTAAAGTTCTTGTCTAATGGTAACGATTTATTTGACATCAAGCAGTATGCATGACTACCCCTGCAGCAGTAGGAGGAGTGACATTCCATGCCAAATGTTGCATGAGTGGGACCCCTCCCAGTGAGTTGGAACCCCTCCCGTGGGGTCACATGCTTTGCATTGTCCCACTAGAGCCTTGATAGGATATAAGAAGCTTGCAGGTATTTTAGCTCACGACTGTCAACTTATTCTGTCCATTTGCAGGCTGAAGACAGGGAGGTGACCTAGCTGTGCTACCTAACTGCAGTAGAGAAAAGTCAAGTCACCAACCTGACTCTGCTGTTTGGCAGGGCCGTACAAATGTCAGGACTGCATGAACAAACATCCAAATCCTTTTATAGTTAAAACAGTTCTTGTATACGTTCTATATATCATCTGTGTAATTAGCTGTTTGCCTGGAGTTCAGCTTTAAGGCAGAACTTTTCGTTAACATAC